TCAAAGATATGTGTGAAGTCGCAATTGGCCAGCGTGGTTGACTATGGCCTAGTCACCCTTTAATAGGGTAGGCTCCGAGCCCTTTGGTGGGGACGTATAGTGAGCTGGTGATGATGATAAAACATACAAATTGCAGGTAAATGTGCTGAGGTCAGTGGGCAAGATTGTAAGGCATGAAAGATACAACGACCATAACATGGCCAATGATATAGCATTGTTATATTTAGAAAAGAGTCTACCGCTGGGTAGACACATGCAGAGAGTAACCATCAGAAGATGGCATTCGCCTAATGAAATAGCCAATGTCGCTGGATGGGGCGTCGTTAATGTAAGTTTTAGTTATATTAGTCAGTAGCTGTTGCTCCTGACTTTGTCTACGTGGAATTAAAAAATATACTCAGTAATAATGTAGCTTTTTAATGGTGAAAGAACTTTTGATAATAGCATAATAATTTTTGAGTTATTTCAATACTTACAAAAATACAAAAGTACAAATTTTACCTCTTTATAATATTAGTAAATGTATATTAGACTAAGAAAGTACTGCGAAATGTCAACGACCAGTAAAAATGATGAAAGTAGTACAAATATGAACAGACATATATTAGGTTTTCATTATTTGATTTCATAGCTACGACAATATGTCATGGAATTGTGTATTATTCTTATTGATTTTCTAAATGAGTTAGGCTTGTCCCACAACTGGCTGATAGAAGCTAGATAGCTTGAAAACAACGTCACTGTCAGATAAGGGAACAAAATCTGAAATTTCCATCATATATTTTAAATGTTGGATTGTTAAACAATTTACAATTTAGTGGGACAGGCCCTTGGACTTCTTATATGTTTTTTTTTTAGAGAGTAACAAATACAGATACGATACATTTGAAAAAAGCAAGGCAAAGATTGATGTCGCCACGGACTTGCTCTCATGTCGGCAAACTGATCACCGGGATGATGTGCGCCAAAAGTCCGGAGAAAAACACCAGCCCTGCTTCGTAAGTCACATAAGAAAATGCCACACGGTTCATCACAGTGTTGCAGTAATGAAATATAACTCAAGCCTTGGCTTATATATGACATATATGTATGGTATAGTCTGGACGAACATATTGGCTTCTTACTTTTTTTTAATGCCACGAGGCCGGAATCGCGGAGAAAAGCCATTGTAGATATGATAACAAAAAATGAGTTTGTTTTTCCAAGTTGTACAAGAAGCATTGTTACTTTTTATTGTGTGCAGTTTTTAATTTATCTTATGTTTTCAGTGGTGACTCTGGCAGTGCACTCATCACAAAGGACATGCAGCAAATCGGCCTGGTGTCCTTCGTATTTCTAGAATATCCCAACACCCCTATATATACTAACGTCTCCCACTATTTTAATTGGATTAAATCTATGGTCCGTTCATTACATTGTGCTTAGGTACAGTTGGATTATTAATAAAAATTCAGTCTCTTAACACATTGTTTCATTAATAAGGATAAAATATTTTAAGAGCGGGCGCACACCTTACTAAACTATCGCACAACTGCTGTGTGATTGTCGATTGTTTCGCAGCCAAATCATATGTTTAGTCGCAGAACTAAAAATCTAGCACGCGCACCTCCATATAAGCTTATAGGAATCAAAACGCGACAAAACATTTGTCCGATAGTTTAGTCAAAAGTGTGCGCACGCTCTTACAATATTATAAATGCAAAAGTTTGTTCGAGTTTGTCGCTTAAACAGCAGAACGGATCTCGATGAAATTGGGCATAGATGTACAGGATAGATAAGCTACTTTTTTTTAATCTCACGCGAACAGTGTCGAAAGCGAAAACTAGTTTATAAATATTGATTAGTCTTTCTTGTTTACAGTACCAAAATATTTCTAACATAAACGCAGAATATAACATGTTCTTAAATTTCATTAATGTAGCCTAAGTGCATATTTATAAATATAGCCTATGTCACTCAATGATAATGAACTGATTTCAAAAATTCTTTTACCATGAGCTTTCTAATGGTAAAAGAATTTTTGAAATCAGTTCAGTAGTTTTTTTATTATATTTGTTATACGAAAACATAAATTACTTTGTTAAATTTGTTCAAATAGAGAACAGACAGTAGTTTTTGACCGTTTACTGCGCTAGTTAATTTTGATATCACCGCGTAATTGACGTTTTTAATTAATTTTAATGTAATTAATTTTAATGTAATATTTTCCACATGTACAAATTAAATACTATAATTTAAGCTATCCGATATAAACTTAATAATGCCTAACATAACTTTAATTACCTAAGTCATTAGCGTGTTTAATTGGGCAATTAACCAAACGCATTTAACATTTGAACAAAGTAAGAAAGACGATACGATGCGTGGAATTAAAAACCACTTAGTAATGGCAACATTATTTTTATTTAAAATAGTAAACTCTTCGAACAATAAAATGGATCCTTTTGTTGTGAATGGTGAATTCGCTAAAATAAAGCAATATCCACATTGCGTTTTCTTAGTCATCTATTGTCGTGGCAAATGGATATGTGGCTCGTCTATTATCAATCAGAGAATACTTCTTACTGCTGCCCATTGTTTACATTGTGTTGATACAAAGCCCAAAGTCGAAACATTCGCCGGCCACGAAAATATAAAACAGGTAACTAACAAGCAGGGAACGGTGTGTTAAAGATGGAAATCTTACATTCTTACTAAAGCTATCAATACCTTACTTCATTCTTATATTATAAATGTAAAAGATTTGATGGATGGATGGATAAAAGTTTGTTAGAGTTTGTAGCCTAAACGGCTGAAGGGATTTCGATGAAATTTGGCATAGATGTAGAGGATAGTCTGGAAGAACACATAAGCTACTTAGTATTGTTTTTAAATTCCACGTGGACGGAGTCGCGGGCGAAAGCTTGTTATTTTCATAGTTCTTTTGTTACAGACGAACGTTAATCGAGCTGCCAAGAAATTAATAATTCACGATAAATACTCAGAGAAGAGTGTCAATAGCGACATAGGAATGGTAATGCTGTCAGAAGATTTACCATTAGGTAAAAAAATTAAAAGAGTCATACTTGTCAAACGATCAAATTACGGTCTTAGCGCAGTGGTGGCGGGGTGGGGGGCTATAAGTGTAAGTGTAAAATATATTACATAAAAAAAGTGTTTTAGTTTTTTTCATGACAAAAAAGAGCCACAAGACACTCTCATCCAGCCTATTTTTTTTTCTTAATTTCGAAGAACTTTTTTAGGATGAGCCAGATTTAGGTACTGATACATTAAAATGGGCGAACCAGAAAGTGAGGTCTGAGAAAACTTGTACTAAACTTGGCAAGTTAAGGCCGGGCATGATGTGCGCGGGTGGCACAGGCAAGGAACATCCGCGACCAAGTAAGTAAGTACATTAAACTTAATGTTATCAAAACTAAACTTTGATTTATAAGATTTATAACAAGCTTACGGCCGCGACTCCGTCTGCGTGGAATTGAAAACAAACAAAAGTGTTCTTCCAGACTAATCTCTACGCCTATGCCAAGATCCGTTCAGCAGTTTAGGCTACAAAGTCTAATAAACATCCATCCATCTAAACTTTCGCATTTATATTAGTAAGATTAGTTTTCTAATTTTTTACACTATGAGGAAAGATTTGAGTTTTTGCATGTTTGTCTATACTAATATTTTAAAGAGGAAATATTTGATTGATTGCATTAAATAGGTTCCGAAACTAGTTAAACGATTTAAAAAATTCAATCACTCTTGGGACCCTACACTATACCTGGGTGACATAGGCGTTATTTATAATAAGAATTTCTATTTAATTCCACGCGGACGAAGTCGCAAGCAAAAGTTAGTATCCAATAACCTGACAACAGTTGTTTCTAAAAGTTTTTTTGCCACATTTTTCACTTAAGAAGAAAAAGAAAACCATTTACGTTCGAAAATATTAAACGTTCAACAATAATTGTTAAAACTTAAAAATTAAAATATTACATGAAATCATTTTCTCACATTAAAAAACATTTGAAACAAATGAAAGATTTTCCTTTTGCGGGCCATATAGCACGTTTCGAATAAAACTACATCAACATTTCAATATGAATTTGGGGATCAACTGAGCAACGTACGTGCTCTACTGACCGCAAACGGAAAACATTTCTATTTCCAGAATCCGTCCGTGTACAGAGTTTGTAGAATTTCATTGTAAATATTACATTTATTGAACTTTTTACCACTAGAGTTATGAAGGCTAGCCAGGTTAAATTTTAGAGGACGTATTTTGACACATTGTATAGGCGGCAGTAATTGTCAATTTTTATGCAACTAAAAAAAATGGTGGACTTACGGACAACAATGACAATACAAAGACTAAAATGTTTCGCGCATTTCCGAAATATAACACGACAGATTGTAATTTGCCTAGGTTTTGCAATTTCCTAATGCGATTTATAACCTTTTTAATGAAATTAAGCAATCAAATGACGTGAAATTGACAAGTAAATGTGAATAAACATGCACAAAGCTATTTTTAATAAAGAAATTCTTTGGTCAATTATGGCCGAATTTCGAATAATTGACGACCACTAATATAAAGTTGTTCAAGATAAATCTATTCTATTGCAGAGGTGATTCAGGAAGTGCACTAATCACAGCAAAGTACGAGCAGATTGGAGTCGTGTCTTACCGACTTGTGGCTCACCCTGGTTTAGTTGTCTACACCAATGTCTCTTATTACTACGATTGGATTAAAGAGAAATCAAGATTGATGTATTGTGGTTAAAATTAAAATGTATCATGGTTTAACTTTTTTTATTATTATATTATTTTTAATATTTAACATTGTTTATAGTTAGCACCATTAAAACTACTTTTACAGTGGTAAAGACATATTAGTTTATTAACTAAAAATCGGAAATTGAGAAATCCAGAGTTTAATAATAATCTTCTACATTTGTTTTAAAAATTTAAAGTTTAGTGGGGGATTTTATTTTCCAATGAAACAAAAGTTTTTCCATAATCATTTTATTTTTACCTTGCCAGAGGTTTACGATATATTCTAAAAATAATTATTTATCCCAGCCATTGTTTATATATAATGAGAAATCTATCAGTCCATATAAAATGTAGTTCAGAGAATCAGTTAGTTGGGGCCGGATTAGCTCCTGAAGATGCAGCCGCAGCCGCAGCCTCATTCTCCATTGCATGAGACGGAGGATGTTCAAGGACATTATCAATCAATCCAAAGGCTTTTGCTTCAGGTGGAGACATAAAATAATCTCGTTCCATGGAAGACTGTACTTTCTCTAATTCTAAACCTGTATGTCTAACATACAAAGCGTTAATCTGAGCTTTCAGCTTTAATATCTCTTCCGCTTGGATCTGAATGTCTGTTGCTTGACCTCGCACTCCACCTGATGGCTGATGTACCATTATACGAGAATTGGGCAAAGCATGGCGCATACCTGGTGCTCCCGCTGCTAACAACAATGAAGCCATACTGCAAGCCTGACCTACACACCATGTAGCTACAGGCGGAGTAATATACTGCATTGTATCATATATTCCTAAACCAGCTGTTATATTCCCGCCAGGAGAGTTTATATAAAGATGAACTGGCTTTTTACTTGATTCCGATTGAAGAAAGAGAAGTTGGGCAACAATTAATGAACTAATCTCATCGTTTACAGGACCCATTAAGCAAATAATCCGTTCACGTAAAAGTCTCGAGTATATATCGTACGCTCTCTCACCTCGTCCAGTTTGTTCCACAACCATAGGTATCAACCCAAGTCGAGCTGGAGTCGTCGAACTAATGTATCGTATATTCGAATGAACTCTTGGAGAGTTACAAGATACAATTTTAACCATGTGGCGAACATAATTTAAGGCCATTTTGCACAAATTATGCTAAGTTTTTATAATAACAATCAAACTACGTCGCGATTATCGTTTCTTAAACGTACTCTTCTTTATTTTCTAGACGGGCGTAGATGATGACTTTTCTTAACTTTTCAATAGAACTTTAGGAAATCAGTGTTATTTCTACGTTTATATTTTTAATCGAAAATGTTTTTTCTCCTATCGTTTTTGACTTGATTTTGACGTCTACGAATTCAAAATTATTTTGAAGTTGACAGGTGACAGCCAGCTGACACAGTGACATTATTTTTCTTTTATAGCACAACAGATATAGAAAAATACTAATTGACGTACAGACACCTATTTTTATCTATTACCAAATATCATCTTTTTGAAGAATTGCTACTATTCTGGAAGACTTGTTCTCTTAGCTCATTTGCAAGGATAAAGCAAAATAAATCTGTGTCTCTTTAATGGTTTTATTTACGTGATGATTATTTTTAGAAGACTGCAAAACAAACCTAGTAGTCTTAGTTCTGGCTTAGATCAGGTATCATCAGGATGTTATTAAGTACTCTGTGATCATCAGTAACAAATCATATATTATAGTATAGTAGTAAATAAAATAATCGGTAGTTATGTTGAATCAGCTGTTATTATTTCACAATGTTTATGCAAAAATCATAGTAATAATTATTAATGCAAAAGTATAATCACATTTTCATACACTTATTAATATTAACACTTATAATAATTGTAGATATATTATGGCATGGCAGGATCAAAAACTGATACCTCATAAAATAAAGATAAAACAAGTCCCTTAACACTTGATATGATGTAAAAAATGCTTAAAATAGAACACAAAAAGTGTTACAATTGTGTTTTGGCCTGAGTCTGTTTACGCTGTCTTAATTTCATTAATGCTTCCTGTCGTTTTTTCTCAATAATTGATTTTATATCTGTATCGGTGTTATTCCTTTGATTTGACACTAAAGAATTACCACAATTAGGTTTAATTACACTTTTAGAATTAATAAATGCTTTCTCAGTAGGAACTTTTGGTTGGAATTTGTACTTGTTTGATATAGTTTGTTCTGGTATTGAAGGTAATGTTGAACATGGCAATGTAAATGGTAACTGTCTTTTCGCAAGTAGCTTTTCTCTTGCTATCTGATGTTTCTTTTTAATTTCATCAGGTGTACATCGTATTGGGGAATCACTTGGATCTGTAAAATAAAAAATATTACATTAAACGCATGATAAATTCTAAAAAACACAAAATTAATTAAACTTTGAGCTTTACCCATTTGATTTTTATCCATTGGCATTGAACTATATCTTCCTAAAGCCATACCACTTGTTGATGGTTTATTAACTTGCGCTATAGAAGGAGATTCTGGCATAGAACTATGACGACTAAATGATTTAGAAAATGAACCATTGAAATCTAATTGTAGTTCATTTGATTTTTCAGTCTTCAACTCTGGCCGTGGTGTCCTTATTTTCGAAGGCATTTGCGTAAGTCTATCTAAAGCACTATCATTTAAATTACCAACAAAACCATCAAATGAATCGTTAACAAGTTGTGGAGAATTACACCTTTTGACTCGTTTTGCAACTGGCGAGTCAAATTTTATACTATTAAGTATTGCATCCATAGAATCCTGGTCTATTTTGAAAAATGATGAGTTTGCACATTTACTTTTGTTACTAGGAACATCACTTTTCGACTTTTTATCATCTTTTAATATATTCTCTTCAATCACCTGTGTTGCTTTCAACAAACATTCATTCATTGAATCATCTGAATCTAAAGCTTCCGGCTCAGGTTTAGAAAATTTGGAACTTAAAAGATTTTTTCTTAAACAATTATTATTTCTCAAACCGCTTTTCGGAGAAAACTCTTGTACATCTCTAAATATATCTTCTTCAGAGTCATCTCTTTCTGGTATAGTGTTTTTTTCTGATTTATTACCTATTATTTCATGCAAATTTTTATTCAATTCTACGAGTTCTTGTAGGAGTGCATTTTTCTTTTGTGAAGGTCTAATAGCTCTTCTTTTAGGTATTGGTTTTTCTAATACTTTGGGCCTTAAAGATTTTTTAGATCTTCTACTGAGTGGTGTTGTGTTCTTAGCATGTGCTCTGTTGCCAGATTTTGGTGTGTAATGGTTCCATATGACATCAGTTTCCCCTTCAGTGCCATCTTGGGTACATAGAAATGGGACTGGACTTGCAGAATCTGAATCACATAAGGAGTCACTGTCTCTTGATGGTGAATCATTTCTATGTTCTGGTGTTGAGCAGAGTACTAAAAATTAAAAGGTTATAATATTATTTTAAGCTCTTTTAAGTAACAATATTGGTAGTGTTATATTTCCTTATATGATGCTTTCTTTTTTTATTTACTTAGTATGTTTATTTAGTATACTTTTATGAACACTTAAATATTGATGGTTTGTTTTAGAGTGTATGGATTAATTTTGATGTGTAAGAGCAACTTTATAATATCACAAGATCTAAGAAATGCTACGTTTTATATTAACATTTGAAATTAGATATTAATGAACCATATATAGCTTGATGACTTTTATCGTTAGGACATTATGCTGGTTAACATTAAGTGGTTATAGTTGCTTGTTTGCCGATATACTATTTTAATTATCATAAAACTTGGTTACGTAAATCATTAATAATTACTGTAAATGGAACTTGGAATGTTTTAATTGCATCATTTGAATTATGAAAATTACACGTAATAATTACTTTTGTTTTTATTCCTCGGTACAACCATTTCATTGATCGATTTAACGCGTTTGCTTGTCATAAATAACTAAACAACAAACAAGTTAAATAATTAACACAATAATATAAATTAAAAACTCAAGAGCTGGCACTACATATCATCGACATAGAACAAACTAAAACATATTCATTGCGTTAAATTTAATAAAACACAATAATAAACGCAACTGCTGAATACAACTTAAAAATAGGTTTGATCAACAAAGTTTAACATTAAAAAAAAAACCAAAAAATAACAAAAGTACCACATCGATATCGGAATCGGACATCAATTACGTTCATTCCATATGTCACAACCACAACTGTCACATGTCAGGTTGTCACTGTCACATTGTCACTATGAAAGACGTTTATTTTCTGGAACGTAAAACACAAAAGCGTTGTTGCATTTCACAAGTACTGGTTAATTTTCTGAAATTAACTTAGCATATCAAGTGTACAGTAATTTCTTAACAGAAATTTTTGATTAGGTTATATTAGTTCTAGAGTTTACTTTAACTCTACGATTAGATTGGCCTTTGCTGTCCGAAAAGTCGAAATCGCAAAACAAAAAGCGTTCTCTATTACTGTCAAGTCATTCAGCCAATCAGCCAGCCGACAAGGGTGGTCTATGGTTAGTCGGGCAAAGATCACCAAAACATTCGGTCGTTTTGTTCTGCATTGCTCAGTCTTGCTTACAATATTTCTTGCAATCGCGATGCTTCATCGGAAGTGACATTTAAAAGTGTAAAGTGTACAAGAACTTGTGAAAAATGCTCGCAGACGGAGAAGTTGTTGGTGACGGATCATGGAACCTCACAATTTACGTTACGGACTTGAACGAAAAGAGGACCATGGTCGTAAAAGGAGATATGCACATCGGCGGAGTAATGCTTAAACTTACAGAGAGTTTCGGTAAGTAATGATAAAAATTCATTTACTCAATTTGGCGTTACAGTTTTGGACAAAGATATATAGTATTACCAAATATTTAAATTCCTACAACCACCTTCTGTGCTGAGTCATGTTTACCATTTATGGAGTTTTATGTGTACTATAGTTTTGAACTATTTAATACAAATCTATTAACATTAATAAACATTCGTTAGAAAAGTAAACATATGTAATCAACATGTACTTTTCTACAGATAGGTAAAAATAATGGTAACAAAAAAGCAACTCTATCAGTAGTTTTAGTTTATTATGTATGTATATGATTGAAATCATTATCTTTACTGTAATAAAAAGCAGGATATATGCATGGTAGTTAGGAACCAGGCTTTGTAATCAACAAGTTTGTGTTTGATACCATGTATTACTGTATTTTTCTTTTTCTTGGAATTTCACTTTACTCTGTTGTTCAATGTTCAATAAACATAAAAAAAAATATGAAATGAGCAATGTCTCACAATACAGAATATGTACAACATTTAGATGTTTGTTTAGAACTTCTAGTATTTCATTATCTGTGGTTTAGAATGAAATATAATATTTATGTATAATCTACAAGTGGGCAGTATGTTTCAGAATTATAATGCATTCCTATATTTTTGGGTTTACAGGAATTATTGACTTAAATGTCAAGTAAATTTATAATATTTTTAATATGAACACTGCATTATTTAAAAAAAATTATGGTCATGCTTAGACATTGCAAGCTGATGATCAATTACATTTTTCGATTTTTTTGGTTATGATAAAATTGCTTTGCTGAAACAATTGTATCGAAACACTTTACTCACAGATGATTGTTTTTGTAAAAGTTTTTTGAAATTGAAAACTTCTCAATTATGATTCTTGAAATACACTAATAAAAAAGAGGAAATATCTGTATTTTTGTATGTATTGAAGTCAAAAACTACTGGGCCAATTTTCAAAGTTCTTTTACCATTAGAAAGCTGTTATCAGTGAGTAATATTTTTTAATTCACCTGGGCGAAGCCACGGGCAACATCTAGTATATAAATTTGCATTTATCCATGTATTAAAATCCATTAGAGAATCTCATAGCGTTAACTGGTTTCATTGGTAATAAAAGCAATCGAGTATTACCAGTTGATGTAAGAAACAGCAAATAGAGTGAGCGAGATAGCGAATATTCGCATTGAGGCACGCGTCCTTCGCGGAAAGTTATGTTAACGAGTTTTTTTATGTCTTTGTATGGGAGGATGAACTGTCGATTTGTTTGATGGATTATTTACCAATAAATTTATTTGCTGTTTAATTTAATCTAATATTACTACGAAACTGTAATCATACTTCATACTAATATTGTAAATGCGAAAGTTTAGATGGATGTTTGTTAGAGTCTGTAGTCTAAACGGCTGAATGGATCTGGATGAAATTTGGTATAGATGTCTAAAAGAACTCATAGACTACTCACTTTTGTCTTTTTTAATTCCATGCGGACGGAGTCGCTGGCAAAAGCTAGTCTGTAATATTTGTTTAATTATCCATTAAAATTTTTACAAAAGTTGATTACATTACATACTAAGTTTATTACAAAAACTTAATTTTATTCGTTTCTGTAACCTATTTGATAGCTATTTTGCGAGACTTTGCCCGCGTGAAATTAAATAGAACATTAAAAAACATAGTGTGTCACTCACTGCTAACAGCTTTTTAATGGTGAAATAATCTTTGAAATTCGCCCAGTAGTTTTGAGTTATTTCAATACATACAAAAGTACAAATCTTTCTTCTTTATAATATTAGTATAGATCTACAACTACAAATACAATTCGATCGATGATCATTCTAAAAACACGGTTCCAAGTTATTATTGCGCACGCGCAGATTTACTCATTGAATGATTCATTTCGTTACATCGTTATACAATTATAACTGAACTATACTAGCAAAGATATGTTTAACTTTACGTAAACATTATTAAAATTCTCACCTACGCGCAGCGAGATAACTTACAAAATGGCGGCAAAATTCGCCCACTGTCATGAATTATTCACTATAAGAGCGGGAGCACACTCTTTACTATACAATCGCACAACTATTGTGGGATTGTCAATTGTTTCGTAGCCAATTCAACTGTTTAGTTGCACGACTTAAAATAAACTAACACACGAATTGAGTACCTCCCTAAAAACCGAGTAGCGTGCGGCATATCCATAATAAGTTTAAAGAAACCAAAGCGTGACTAAACAGTTGTGCGATAGTTTAGTTTACTGTGCGCATACGCTCTAACACGTATGTTTCGTAATGTTTGTCGAAAACATTTCCAACTTTTCCCAGAATACATTATAGTAACCTAGTAGCCGAATGTTTTGCTGATATATCGGTGAAAATAGCTTTTTGTAAATCGTAAATTAACTATTGTGAGAAAGTGTAACTGATGTTTATGTCCATTTTATTGCTGAGAGTTTAAAACAAAAGAAAAAAAGTAACGAAAGATTACGACCCACAGCCTAAATCTTACCTATCTTACTTACTAATATAATAAATGGGATAGTTTAGATGGATGGATGTTTGTTAGAGTTTGTAGCTTAAATGGCTCAACGGATTTCGATGAAATTTGGTATAGTCCGGACGAACACATAGGCTACTCATTTTTGTTTTATTTAATTCCACGCGGACAAAGTTGCGGGCGAAAGCTAGTGAATAATATTAACTAGATGAATATTCCGAAAATAAGTTAGTGAATAATCTGTAATTGAAAAATAACCTCAAATTATACTATCTACTGATATATTTAGTACCTAGCATGTTAAACATATGTTTAATATCATTGAAAATAATATGAAGGTCTTTGTAGAGATAAGCGATATAAATATTAATCTAAAGAATTCAACGGTTGCGTTACGTAATTGCAAATAGCAATATCTTATCTGAAATCTAAATAGAGAGGCATTGTACATTTTGCGCAGACAGTTGGCTGCCATAACGATATGAGATAATATAACGATGCCTTCAATAGTAACATTCCAAGTATTTAATGTCTTTTAATTAACTTTAAATGTTCAATACTAACTAACTAATGATATTTCTATGAATTAGTATTAAATAACATTTTATAAGTGTTATCAGACAATCCTCGTAATGTAAGCTAAGTTATCACTCGAAAGAATATAGACTTTACCTAAGATAATGTCTAAGTCATCATCTTTCTCCTTATCCTGCTCCCGTAGGGTCAACTCAACAGTTTTTTGTCCTCCACATAACTCTATCATACGTCATCTCAGTCATCACTCCCTTTTATCATGTCACCTTTTACGCAATCCATCCATGTTTATCTAGGTCTACCTCTACCGGTGTACCCTTCCACACTCTTAACTAATGTTCTCCTTGTAACATGCGATTCATCCCTCCAATGTCTAAGTAGAGGTATGGTCTTGTAAGAACTAATGTTCGTGATGCTTGTGTGTTCGTAGAAGCGTATGTATGTAGTTTCCGGCGCCCCCTCCCGGCCGGCGCAGATAACGTTATCATCCGTTCATTGTTCCTCTATGCAGCCCGGCCAATCGTGCACGGCCATTGACTCGATTGTATTTTTAGCACTCCGATGTGTCGATATTAATCGATACATCGATACCGGTATAGTACTAAAATGGCGAATAATTTTAAATTTATAAATTAGCGTTAGTTAAATCTGTATATTTCTAGTTTGCCTTTAATTAATTACTTCAACCAGTAAAAAGACCTTCACAATACTAATATTGTATTCTTTACGCATTTTAAATCGGAAAAAGAATAGTTCAGTATTAAAATGTGCTATGGAATGTTGTAAATACCTTATTAGTGATGTGCCAGCCCATTGAGTAGGCGCAAATAAGAAGCCAGTCTGAATTTAGTCTCGTATGACCAAAAGCGGTCTTACTCAGCACCGGTCTTTAAAATTGCATGCAATTTATATGGCGCCGTTGACGATTTATGTAGATTGGTAAAATTCCACGCGATGTATGCATTTTGTTATCAATATGATAATAGAGAGTGCATGGACTATCGGCATGGTTAAGAGATTGGACGAATACGAAGTTATTTAGATCCTGGAAAAGTATCATACTTGTTATATTTATAAACTTTGTATCATTCCAGATTAAGTTTGAAGAATAATAAGTTCCAGGGGTTGTCATTTCTTTTATATTGAATTTTTGAATTTCAGGTAAATACTTGAGTTGATTTTTCATAATCTCTTCTTTTATAATGTCATTGACATCTATACTCATAAATTCTTTACGAAAACTAACGCAAAAATAAATGCAGTGTCTGTTCTAAAATATAAAGTATAGTTTATATGTTGATTTGGATAAGTCAAGTGAAGATGTGGTATTTTCTTTCCTGATTAAAAAAAACAACGTGTTCATTTTGAAATAATGTTTCTACATAACATTGAATACAACTCGCTTCTTTGACAGTTATGAAAGAATGCTCTATGGTGTTTAGTATTTTATCACTATAGTTAGCACATAAGCTATAAGATTTTATCGGTTTTTGCGAATCATAAACTACCATAAAAGGTGTAGACGGTCATAAATGCCCGGTACATTCTGTGGCGCGGCTCGGGGCAGGTTGGGAACTGTCGCCAACTAGGGCTTAGTGCCGGACGCTAACGGTCGCGCGCATTTCTATCCCCCCTACCTCCCTCTATCCTTAACACCATCACACTACCAACTTAACTAATTGTTTATGCGTGAATCTATGCCTTATGATTTGTGCTGCAGTTGTATGGAACTTGATAGAAGCAGATATTGACTTACTACTTCGATGTATTAAGCTTGAATCAAGGAGTGAAGTCTAGAATGACGGTCACCGACCACTCTAAGTAATGTAGTTACTATATGGAAGACTTTATTATAAGAATTTGTTATGTATTAAATCTGTAACGCCAAGTAACCAATCTTCATAGTAGTTAAGGTATTGACAGTTCATGAGGATTTGTTTACTTTTGATGTAGAATTTTCTAATCT